AAAAAAAAAAAAAAAAAAAAAAAAAAAAAAAGCTGGTGTTTACTCTACCAGCATAATCATTTCTCCAATATTGATCCACAATATTGTAACAGGATAAATATCTAAAGATATGCATGTGTCTTTTTGTCCCAGGGATGCAAATATGTCATCATCTGTGTTATTCACTGGAGATGGCCCATTTGTCACCATCACCAAAGGAAGTAACCACACCCTGACTTTTACAAAAAGGTGAGTACTGTGAAGTTTCTCCCTCATACAAATGGTGGCTTTAAGTGTGATGGTAATTATTTATGCACTAGTATATAGCTTGAATCTTAACTGAAATCTTTATCTATTTACTGTGGAAATGATAGATACTAGCCTTTTAGCAAAGTATTTCTTATCTAGGAATCTCTAAATTAGGACTACCTATTACAGTAGAATTAAGASTACATATATAATATGTAGAAGAATTAAGAGAGAGTGACATTCACCCACAGTTACAGAGTAGTTGTCACAGTAGGTTCTTTCTGTAACCAGCAGAGAAAAATAAAYACTCTAAAAGATGATCCATCAAGGCATCTAGAAATGATGGGTCAAACTCTGTAATCCTTTGACTTTATTGCTACAAGCATTGGACACAGTGAGGATTGCTAAGGCAAGCCATCCACAGACAGCTATCTGTATTTAAACAAACCAGCCCCAGTCAGAAATGGCTCCTAGATTTGCCCCCACATTTACAAGAGAATTATTAGATGATATGATCCTCAGAATACACTTGATTCTATTCTAACCTTTCTCGGTCCCAATAACAGCCAAAGTGATTCTGAAGAGTGCTACAAACTGGTAGTTTCTTGTAGATTAAGTAAAAATTATTAATAAATAGTAAAATATTATTAATAAATAGTAAAAATAATTAGTGATATTAGCCCAGGAATATATCCTCAGGAAATTCTGGGATTTACAGTATAACTCCCAAGGGGAAAGGCTTGCCATCATAAATTTAAATACATGTTTAAAAAAACAATGACTTCAATTACTGTTTTCTGCTTAAAAGAGGGTTTAATGTATGCATTTTTCTGGAATTCTACCAGAAGCACTGAGCTAGAAAATTACTGTCAATTGCTAAAATGCTGAAACCATGTTGAGGACAGAAAGAGTCCATGTTCTTTCAGTTTCCCTTTATAAACTTACCACGTAGTAATAAAGCAGGAGAGATTCCTTAATTTTTATATGGTCTATTATTTTTTTCTGCAGGAAAAAGAAACTAAAAGTAACATTTTATGTTCTAATTATACTCTGTTAACCCCAAACATTTATCATTCTCACTGGTGATGAAAGTACCTTAAAATATTGGAATATGATTGGGGGTTATTTTTCTTCTTTTTCTTGAGCATCTAAACCAGCATTGTCACAGGACATCTTGAAGATCAGTAGTGATTAAAAGATATCTTCTGTTAATATCTATTAAACATTAAACAGTGATTAAAGCAGGGGAAAATGAAATAAATTGATTTATCTCAGTTGCATTTCTGTGGCAGAAATAGGTATCTTCTTCCACATTTCATCTGAGCAGCTGATAGGAATCATTTTGCAGGGTGACACTATTACATATTCACACAGTTTTTTGTACATACAATGAATGATAGAAAGATCACACAGATTWGATAATTTAAGCAGCTGAATTCATTAACTGGTAATCTAATTACAAAATGTGTTTCTCACATTGTCTTTGGATTTTATTCACGTGCATCCACTACTGAAACAAAAGAGGGCACATAAAATAGGGCTTGAAAGCTGCAGTGACAGAGACAGCAAAAGCTTCTCTGGTGCCCTTAGGTGATGTGATTTTTGGCAGGATAGTTTTGTGACAGCCCAAAATCCTGCCTTTTAGATRGATACATGTGAGCAGATTCCACAGGGACAACTTTTTGCCAGTTCTAAGATCATGCTCACAGATATCCTCAGTACTCCAGATTCCTGCCTGGCATGCTACTCACAGCTGACACTCCGAATTCACAGAGGAGGATGCTTAACACGCACCTCTGGTGCCTTTCGGCCTCTCCTGCACTGACCAGGAGGCAGCTGAGAGTTCTTGGGCTGCAGTGCAGGCAAGGAAGTGCTTTTCCTATGGGAGATAGCTTCCTAAAGAGGAAAAAGCAGAGGCCAATGAAATCATTTCCACTAAAGCAGCCACCAGGTACTGGTGATGGTACAGGCAACTCACTTTACACTGAAAATGTAAAATTATAGGGACAAATCTGATGTGTTGGGTGTTAGTTTGGGTAGTTTATGCATCTACCTATGAGAAAGTAGGATCAAAAAAAGAAACTAATATACAGCACCACTGAACACCCTTTGAAAGCCTCTAAAGGCACCATGGAAAAGGGTGTTTCATTGCTATGAAGTTTATGCAGAAATGATATTGGATTCCCATGGGTTTATGCATTTCTGGCTGTCCTTGATGATTGTCTGGTTATGAGGGGACACCCTAATGGTGTCAATAAAGATTTGAACACCAAATTGGTGTTGCAGAAATTGGTTTCCACTTTTAAAATTACAACTTTAAAATTAGGTACTTATCTTGAAGTGGAAAACAGCAAAGTGAGACTATTCAGGGCTGAAGGAATATCTCATCTGTACCCCCTCATAGTGAAGCTTTAATTGGAGAGGAGAAGGGTGCTTACAGCTCCCACTTTATTTCTTGTACCTCTATGCCACTAGGAAATTACTGGGTCCCATCTCACTCATAGCAGACACCAAATTTTAGAGCAAACAAAATGAGGGATACATCATTCCCTATCATGTTTAAAGTATCCTTCACTCTTTCAATTTTAAAATTAAATGTGGAAATGCACATATTGTCAGATTTTGGTTTTCTRTTTTCCTCTCATTCACATTTCTGTGTTTACCAGATTTGAATTTCTAGCACATACASTGTCCCAAGTGCTTCAGATTCATTACAGGCTATGAACATAATCTTGAAATGCCTGGGTATCAGAAATGCTTGAATAGTTTTGATCTGTGATCTTGTGCTCTTCAGACTCCAGCTTTATATCTCTGCTAAATAACTTCTAACCTTTCATATGCAAGTATGTATTTTACAATTGCATTATCATCTTAGTAAAATAATACAGAGMTATCAAACTAACCTCTTAAATTCTTTGGCCACACTGATCTCTAGTGGTCAGTTATTGAAAATATCTCAAAAGTAGGGAAAAAATACCATAGGCAGCTATAACTTTATTGCAAATCTGTAATGGACTGATGACTCATTTCCTTAAAAAACATGAGCCTACTTTTATTTCAATAACGCAAACCAATTAAGTGCTTTTTGAAGAGGAATATATACATTTAATGTTGTAGAGCATATAATGTATATTTATAATTAAAATATAATTTGAACATGTAACATTAGTTATATCTATCAGGTTGATACTGCTGAAGTAATATCCTTTTTTATATATATGATTATATAAATTTATAATATATGATTATATAAATTTCTATGTGTGTGAATGTGTACATTTTTGACAGTCAGTTATCTGGTGTGCAGATATTTGTAATTTAATTGCACTTTCATTCTAGAGAACGCTGTTTGGATAACCTGGTGGTTCACCTGCAATGTAACATCCAACGTAAGTACACAGAATATTTCACAGGAATATTTCGCAGAGAGATCAGATTGCTCAGACCATAAAGCCCAATGTTTATAGAGTGAATGGAAAGGTTAGGGAATGGGCTATAAATGCTATACTCATACTGATATAAACACAGGAGAGTTTAGTCTTGTTTTCAGTGTTAAGTATACACTAGAGATGGATCTGTAGTGAAAACATATATAAAATAAACCCATAAAAACTCCAGAAGGTCCWAAGAAAACATCTAAATACAAATTATACAGCTACATCTTGATTTCAGCTATAAAAAACACAAACTTTTTTCCCACAGTGTTTTGAAAAGCAGTTCAGATTCTACAAAGTCTATTTTTTCCAAGAAAATTGACTAGCMTAATAAAATGTGCTATATCCCCTTAACTTTTTATTTTATTTAATTTTATTTTGCTCTGTCTTAGCTTGTGGAAAACACCTTGTGGTAACTCAGAATAATGCAACAAGAATTGTAGGTGGGAGTGATGCCAGAAGAGAGGCTTGGCCTTGGATAGTCTCACTGCATTTTAATTTGCAGCCCGTTTGTGGAGCTTCCCTTGTCAGTGATGAGTGGCTGGTGACAGCAGCACACTGTGCATATGGGTAATGTTCTTTTATGTGCAAGTTCACTAARGAGCCATCAGATTATGAACAAATTGTGGCACTGATATAAAAAATTAACAACTCACAGTTCAATTACTGTATTTTGGATCACTTTAGGCTCAGCTGAAAACTCCTTTACTTTCTGGTAAATCCTCAGTAAGTACTTTCTTTAATGCAGAGAATCATGGAAACKAAGCAGCATTTCCTGATCAATAAGGAATTGCACTTTAAATGCATGGTATTAACACTAGCATTGGTACTTAATCCATAATTATTGTGGTTCTCCATAAATTAGATGAATCTCTGACAGTGGTATAAAGGGTGACATCATACCCCATAAAGTAAACCCAGTGCTCCTCCAATATATCATCATGGATTGATCAAGATTTACTGAACATCACTGGAATGAATCTTAATTTATGTGCATTGATTAGTCAATATTGGATATCGCCTCAATAGTGTTATTTGTACCATTCAAAGAAATTATGCCTATTTAAGTATTTTCTAAGGTTTGGTTTTATAATATCTACTATAAGAACAAATATTTTAAAAGGCATATAGAAACTGGAATGGCAGAAAGTAATTACTATTCAAAATTACAGCAGAGCTTTAATTACAAATTGCTAAATAGCAAGGCAATGGAGACTGTGCCAAAATCTTCATGCTGCCTCATGGGCAGGAACTAAATCTCAAAGACACTGAAATGAAAAGGATCAAGCCCTATTAGTTTCCACACAATAAATCCACAATTGTCTTGATACTTCCTTTTCATTTCCTTTTCACTTCCTTTTCACTTGAATCACCTTTCTCTTTTCACCTAAATCTAATTTTATCATTTTGCCTTTGATAGAATTTTCCTTGATTGAAGCTTGCAGTTTCACACCTTCCAAACATTTAACTTAAACACTCCTAGTATAGAACAAAGGAACCTCTTGATATCAAACCAAAAGAWGWGCARAAACCAATWGCAYTGRTGTCCAACCAATTGTTGTCATTCCAAAATCAAGCTGAAAATGTACTTTTTAAACCATAAAGTGATTGGTTAAAAAATAGCAAATATTTAAGTTCTCTGATAAATACAGCTTAAAAACCATCATGTGTAGATCAGGGAAAAAAATGCAGATTATGCCATATTTTGTCTTAGCGTATCATTTTTGATACAGATTAAAAAACTAAGAGACCAGTTTTATGAGTCTATGAGCTGAAGCATTTCCAGCAACATCTCAGACCTATTACTTTAGGCATTCCATTACAATTTTCTAGCTCAGACCAATATTAATTGCCTGGTGGGCAGTCAGCAGTATTCTTCATAGTGTTTAAAAAGTCATAGTAATTTAGTTAATGCATTTTCCTCCTCTGCACCACTGCCTGATTAATTCATTATAAATAATGCATTGAAAGCTCACTATAAAAGAATCAGAAGTGCCTATGAGCAGCACAGGTGTTTAAGAAAGTGATATTGTCACGGAATTCTACGCACATCTACTACACTCTATTTGACAAACCATACAAATAATATGGATTTCCATGAGGCTAAATATCAGCATTTTATCTAATACATATTTTTTAAAACTTTCATTAATCACTGCTCATTGTGAATACTTGCAACTTCCAGGAGACAATTAAAACCGTCCCGCTGGCAAGCGGTTCTGGGATTGCACGATCAAWCAGACCTGGCACAGCCTCCAACAGAGATTCGGAACATCGATAGGATTATTATAAATCCTCATTAYATGAAGGAAACAAAAGACAGTGATATTGCTCTGATGCACCTTCAGCACAAAGTGCAATATACAGGTGAGTTTTTATTTTCCCASAAAACACATTTATCTGTTATGAAAACTGTGCTAAGCATACGAGGGTGGTAGGGAGTCAGCCCAGTACTTCCTGGATATTTTGGCCAAAAAACGGGTTTGAATTAATGAACATTTTCTGATGTGACCTCATGAAAACCTGAATGCAGGGAAGAGGTTGAGATTGATTTCTTGTTTCTCATTCACAGATTACATACAACCCATCTGCTTACCAGGAAAATATCAACAGTTTTTACCAGGAATTAACTGTTCCATTGCTGGCTGGGGAAATATTAGGGATGAAGGTGGGTGATCTGCTTGGAAAACTCTGACAGACATACAACTGTGAGGGAAAGCTCGTTCCTACTCCACAGGAGTTACTAAGGTCAAATAGTTTAGAGAGATATTCTTCCATATGAAAATTTAGGAACTATCCCATTCCAYCATTTCTTTTCTCTGAAGCAAAATGATAGTTATAACATATTTATTAGAACAAAACATGCATATCTAGGTTCACCAAGCTATGAAGAAAGCTTATTACATTCACTTAGAAGTTGGATGACTGCTTTTCTCAACATGAAATAAATACATCTTATTTCCAGATATTGGGCGGGGGAGGAGGAAGGTTAGTCTTTCTGACAATGTGCAAATGATTTTCCCTAGAAGTTGAGGAAACTGACTGCAGTGTGAAATGTATGTTCTGTTTGTATGTCATATGCTCCAGATTTGGAACCCCTCTGAAATAATAAACATGCCATTTCACTTCCACAGTTGAATACATTGAGTTCCACATTTAAGAACAAAAGTGCATTTAACATTTGGGGTAGGAATTAGTAAAAGAAATTTTTATAAAAACCTTAAATAGCCAAAGTTACACGGCAAATAGTGAGGAAACACTGGACAGCCCACGTTCCTAAGCCTTAATCATCCCTTAGATCTCCCCACAGTGAGTTCATAGTCATTGATTTTAGTAATCTTGATTTAATTATAATCAAATTCAGTCCCATTACACAAATGAAAAACAGAACTCAGTTAACGAGCCCTGTTTAATCAGTGACTGTGTTACAGGGCCTTAAGCCTGAGAAGTGCAGCAGTAAGGCAGGGATTCCTGCTGCTCAGGAGCGTGCTGAGCATGCAGGAGCAGGGACCAAACCAGCAGTGTTCCCAGCAGGATGCACACATTTAATGCTGCAGGTAAATGTACTTTGTATTTCCATCAGGTCCCACTTCAAACACATTGCAAGAAGCAACAGTCCCTCTCATTTCCAATGAAAAATGCCAACAATGGATGCCAAAATATAATATCACTGAGAATATGCTCTGTGCAGGATATGAGGTGGGAGGAATAGATTCCTGCCAGGTAAGTAGAGGAAACCCATTTTCACTGCTGCCACAGACCACATCTAGTTACTAAATAAATGTTCCCTGATCCTCCACTCATGAAAATCAGGACAATCCCTGGCCCTGAATGGTATTTCTACTTATGGGATTTTGTCAATTGAATAATTTATCAGGAAAAAAGGTTTTGGTTTTTTGTTTGTTTTTTTTTTGTGTCATCTTGGCATAAACAACCATGGAGGCAGATAAATATGAGGACTGGAAATTTTCTGCATTAAGCTTTGAATAATTCCTGATGAGTAATTCCATGAAGGAGGGAGACACATGCTTAGGGAAATTCAGAGAACAGAGAACTTAATACTAGATAGACTGAAGYCTCAGAAATGCTTCTTTAATGGAGGGAGCAGAGAGAGCAAAACTGCTTATCTGCAGATTCTGTAGAGTCTGGAGATCTTTCTTAAGTGGCAACCATGGTATTTCAGAGTGGCTGCCTTTCTGCACTGATACACATTGCTTCCTGTGGGTTTAGCCCTTGCCCATCCCATCTCTCATTACTGGCTGTTTCCCTTTGAGGGTGTACTCAGTGATGGCTTCCACATGATTTTCCCCCCAGCAATATGGAGTCTGTGGCATGGAGACTGGCTGGCTTTCCTCAAGCCTGATGAGGAGCACTCTCACAGAATTCCTATTGCCTTGCCCTCCCAACCTAAACCTTCACCAGGTGCCTTGACTTTGCCCAGTTTAATCCAGAAGGAGGACTCTGTTCAAGCCTAATGTCCTTTCCCCTAGTGGCTTTCCTCTTCCCCTTTTTCCTTCTGAACCTTACACTGAAAAAAACCCAAAATCAGTGTAGCACCAGAGGCTGATCCAGAGCACAAGTGACCAGCCCTGTGATCAATGACCAGTCAGCCATGAGCAAAGGGGAACAAGTGAGTCCYGATCGTACATCCCCCTCTAGGCTGCTGTCACAGCCTTTAACRTTCTGGGATGCCCTACAGTTATGGGCAGAAGCATTTTAATGGCTGAGTCTTTGCAGAATTCTCTGGTAAAGATCCATTCACAGGGCCTGGAGATGACACAATTAATACTAGCTCAACTAACTTGATAGACAATGAAAAATAATCGTGGTTTTTTCTCATCAAAACAAGGCCCTCATGGCTGACTCATCCCCACTCAGGCTGAATCAAATTCAGTCTCTATTGCGATGCTACATCTGCCAAACTGTTGAAAAGGAAGTGAGAGAAATGGACACCTCCTCTTCTGGCAATCTTGTTATTTTGTTCTCTAAATTTGAAACTGTGGATACTCTGGGGTGACTGAAAATAGAACTGTTTTGGCTGTATATATTCAACTGAAAAAAAAATCCTCCACATTTACCCAGGCTCTGTGAAATATGAAGGGCTGAACACAAAAGGAATAAGATATGAAAAAAAAACCGAAACAAAAATCACTTGAAGCCCAGTCCTGTATTGGAAAACAAGAGCTTAAGATCAAATTTCRAAAATTAATAATTTCAAAAATAAATGAAAATATATAAATCTCAAAAATAAATGAAAAAATAAATAGATAATTTGGAGATTTTTTTTTCTTGTGGAAATATTCATATTGATCTCACTTCTTGGTGTCGAGGACATACAGAGGTACAGCACTGGCGAATAAGGAACAAAATGAAAAAACATCATAAGCAGGCTCTGCTTCAGAGTTGACACTGTTCACTTTTAACTTTTGAATTTCTTATTGCAGGGGGATTCAGGTGGCCCTCTGACATTTGAAGATGGGGACAAGTGGTTTTTAGTTGGTGTAATATCCTTTGGTGAAGGGTGTGCACTTCCCCAACGACCAGGAGTGTATGTTCGAGTCACCAAGTTTGTGGACTGGATCAAAAATATCATCTATTAGCTCCATATTTTTTAAGTCTAGAAATGGAATTTAATTGTTGAAAGTAAACCATTGAGCAATGATGTAAACTAGGCTGCCATTTCAATCTCAGAGAGCAAATGAGCACAGTATTTCAAATGAGATGCTGTGGTTTTGTTAAWAAATAAAGTTTTGTCATTTTACTTCTTCTTTTATATAAGATCTTAGGAGAACAGTTTCTTTGAACTTCAGCAATTTAGCTGTGCAGTGGAGAGCTTTACAAAACATGGCAGTAAAAAAAAATTAAAAGCTTGCAAACTGCAAATATTTTAGTGCCAMGAATCAAAATTTTAATATCAGATGAAATATTATCCGGTTTATGTTTTTACATTAACTTTTCTAATGTGCAATTTCATATTAATGTATAGTCAACCCTTCCCAGGAATCTGTCTGCMTGTCCAAAAGAAGATGTATGTTATCCCTTCGAACTGGGCTCGTGGGAGTTCCTCTGCCTTGCCCATTACACAAAGCTCTGGAATGAGGTTTATGGATTGTGCAGAAAGGCTGACCATGGATCATGCTGCTTTCTAATGAATAAACTGAGCGTCAGCCAAAAATTCTCTCTCATGTAATGTGTTTGGAATTAATAGAGTTTTAAAAAGGATTGAATAGAGCTTTTTAGTTTTCTTTCTAGCAAGTGTTTGGCAATTATTCAAACACTTATAGAGATGTTCTCATCCACACCCAACCACAGACTCACAATACTCCAACTTCCTCTCATAAAAAGTTATGTTTTTAAAAACATTTAATGATAATGAGTACCAGCTCTTCCTCGTGTTCTTACATTACATGCTTTTTCCATGCTTGTGATTTTTAATACAGATTTTGTGCTTTGTACAAAAACTAGCAGGGTATCCCATTACAGCATTCTAAAGGGGAAAGAACATGAAAACAAAAATTAGGGGTTTATCTTCTTGAGCTCTTTTATAAGTAGGAATCTATTAAAATACAATTATCGATTTGTTCAAATGTCTTAAATTCTATAGTGTCTTAGTATAATAGGATGCGCTTCTTTATTTCTGTTTTCAAGCTAGTGTATATATTTGATGTATTTATCATTCCACATTATCAAAAATACAAATTACATTCTCACTTACAGTGTAAGTGTATCTACACATACACACACAGGTGTGTGATGTTGTAAGAAGCTCCTGGACTTGGTTCTTGCAACCCTAAATGCAGGTAGGAAATGCTCAAAGTACAAAGATTGCTTGCAGACACACGTTGGCAGTCACTGATAAAAATACAAGTCCCAAACTGGTTTCAGGTCTTGGTAGCATTAGAGAACTAAGTMCAGACAAAAATATGTAGCTTTATCAAGACATCTGTGATCACAAAGAGCACAGATAAACATATATATGACAAAGAGAAAGTAAGAAGGTGTTTTGGACACATTCTCTCATATAAAATATGCATCTTTTAACAGTAATAGTTTAAGACTGCAAATTCTATCTTTCATAGTGCATCATTGTTTCTCTTCTTGCTCTGAAAGTAGAGCCTCTTGCTGTGAGTATAAATTGATTTGGATGAAGCAATTACATTAAAATGCTTAATTAAAATATTACCTGATTTCTCATTATTGACCAAACATCACTATTGTGCATTGTGTTTCGATCTGTTGATGAAATACAAAAGCCAACTGAAAGCAGATCCAGCCACCAGAAAATGTGCTTCCCAGGAATACAGTAACATACTTCTATTTTTGTGCATTTTTTGCTTCCCAAATTGCAAAGGATAGATGTATTTGGAGATATACATTGATAAAGCATCTCATCCGACTGAAAAAAGTTCTATTATGAATCCTGGCMTAAGAAGATATATCATAAAAACTATTTTAATTCAAAAAGCCATTTTATTTCAACTAATTATGTCTAGATGAAACTAATGTAACCTTAGTCGATCAAATTCGAGCCTTTGGTCAAAATCCATGGCTTCAGTTGGCTGTAAATTAACCTGTGGAGAAACCAGTCAATATTATGTTAAAACATGTGGGCAGAACAGATTGTTTGCAATTGAGTCACAATTCCCAGATGCTTTGAAAGWGTGGGATGTATATGATGAAAAATATGGAAATATTTTGTCCTGATAAACAACATTTCTTATTTCTAAAGAAAATCTGAGCACAGTACAATAGAAGCACTGGATGTCACTTCCCCTCCTGCCTTCACACAGAGTCTGAGGCACCTCTGTCCAACACCTGCCCAGTCATCACTTTCACTCTGTAACACTCCTGAGGTATTTGCATTCTCCTGACTGTTATTTCAAAATCACTTTTGCTGCTGTTAACCATGGTAGTGACAACGTCCTTTGGAAGTATGAAGTTTTCTTTATATTAAAGGGAGTTAATCCTTCAAGAGCATAAAAATGAACTAAGTTCTTTTTACCACAACTTTTCCCAAGAAAGAGGCCCCTCTTCCCGTAAGGTGAGTTAAGCAATATTTGTGTCAGTAGTAAAACAATTCTGGTCTTGGTGATCATGTAGGAGCATAGCATTTTYTCACTGCAAAGGAAACTGAGGAAAGGGATTGAACAAAGAAAGAAGTTGCTACTGACTGGAAAAAACTATTGAATATTTTAAGTAAGAAWAAAAATATTTAACCTGAAATACATTAAGAGGTGTCTTTGAAAAGGAAGCAAAGCCACTGCATAACAGCAGCTTTAGGATGCTTCCAAAAGTGCCTCAGCAACTAATTGCACAAATAGTATTAATGGCATTGATCTTTCAAGTATTTTTTTCTTGGAAAAATTGAGGTACGTTTGATGTGGTCAACATCAGGCAGCTCAGTGTACACAACCCATCAGTTCTGCTTTGGTTGGTTTCTCCCCAACATCACCCAGTGATAGTCTTGAATCTGTGTTAAAGCCAGCAAAGTTGAACCCAGTGTCTTGAACTCTGGCTAAAACTGCAGCAAAACCCCTTAACTTTTTGCTCTGACATTGAATTGTCACCAACAAATCAGCCAGAGTGTTACTACCACCACCCCAGAGTGCTCCTAATGACTGGCAYGAACATTCTTAAGGCACAGAAAGCTCTTAAGGAACCAAAGAGAATGGACATTAATAATGTTAATCATAACTTTAAAAKATGACTTTAAATGCATCACAGTTACCTCTAAATCTATCCATCAATTAATATAATCAATTCTTTTCCAGATAATAGCCTAAGTAATGTTGGGATCAATCTATTAGTGCCACTTCCAAGAAAAAACCTTTGTCTTCTCTTTGTTCCAATATCACATTATTCCTAACAAACTATTAGCTAGATTTAAATGACCTTTAATGTCTTTTTACATAGACTTACTGAAACAATAATTTTAATCTTAAACTCTTGCCCACTGTGATCTTTTTTTCCATCAGAAAAATATTTTACTTAATTAACAACTAATAGCTGCCTTTAAAGGACACACCATWAATGAAGTATCACTTTCCAAGTTATTTATGATGATCTTGGGCCAGTATAACAAAAAGTTATARATATCCCCTGGCAAAATTAATTCATTTTATGACAGCAAATGACTTTGATGAATCCTTGAATTTTGCCACATCAGGTTGATGTCACAACATGGTGGCTGTCTCTGTCAGCWGCCATGTCAATATTTAATAAAATAGTATTTATTCCCCAGGTTCAAAAACTGTGTTAAGTGTGCAAATAAATACTAAACAAATATTTTGTATCAAACTTTTATGCAAAGATAAATAATTGTTACACTGTAAAATTGTCAGTTCCATTTACTGTACATTGACTACATTACAATGCATGAGAGACTAAAAGAAACAGAGGAGGTTTGTTTAACTACAAACAGTTTTAAAACTGACATACATTGTGGATATTTCCCCATAAAAACTTCAAATGCTCTGTTCATTTCATTGCTCACAACTAGCTAACTTACATCTCTTAGCAAAATAAACACATACCCTTTATTTAGCATGGCATATTTTGTTACTGAATTAATAAACAAACATTATATAAAAATGATCTGAACATTTGCCTCAAGGGGGAGCTTACAGTTCATTCTTGTAGATCCTTTGCATTTTCAAGCCATTCCAAGCTAATGTTCTTTGACGACATTATAATACAGCCTCACTGCAAAATGTTATTTTTGCTTCGTTTTCAGTCAATAAATCATTATACCTCCATGCTACTGTCCTTCCTAGGCGTCTTTGAAATCCATAGTGTGGACTGGTTTGGACTGGTTTTTGTTCTTCCTTTACTGAAAAATAAAAATACGAACTATTTTCAGTGCRTGTGTGCCTTGGCAGCCCTGATTCAGCTTTGTGATCAGACCTGAGTGTTCCATCCCCAGATCTCAAGGCCACTTTTCATGCTTTCACAGCCTGGGCTCCCCATCCGCAGTGGCACTGTCACCAAAGTCACCAGACCACCCTGCTCTCAGCAGTGCTGCTCCCAGGAACTATACTGAGCTGGCCTGTATGGATTTYATTTTATTTTTTTCCAGTTCCCGTCCAACCACACCTCTCATACCTTCTTTTCAGGGAAGGGTGTGGACTCTGACCAGGGCTGGTGGGAGATGAGTGTTTCCCTTGTCAGAGGGGGACCAGAGAACACAAACCCCCTAAATCCATGCCCAAGGTGCACCCACCCACCCCAGGGGGTACCACACCCCTGCCCACCCTGGGAACCAACGGGGCCACTGCGCATCCATGCACAAGGAACCCTCTTCCCTTCAGGCTTCCCCTGGCCTCTAATGAAGTGATGCACATGAATCAGACTCCTAGCAATGAATGACTGGTAGAAAGCTTCCTTAGGGCCAGTTTTCAGTCAAAACTGTCAAGAGTAGGTTTTGTGTCTGGTGTTTTTTTCAGTTAAAAAAAAATAAAAAATAAAAAATAAATAAAAAATAAAAAATAAAAAATAAAAAATAAAAAATAAAAAATAAAAAATAAAAAATAAAAAATAAAAAATAAAAAAAAAACCTGTTCCAGAAGTACTTGCTCTGCAATAGTGCTGAAGTGTTCACTCTGATTTTTCCAGGGAGCCCTGCACACCCTGAAAGTTTATGGCAGTCTTTTCACATGGCTACACTKCGACAATACACAGTCTTCCCTCACTTAGATTGGCAGATGACAGTGCCCTGCAGTCTCCTGAAAACAGGAGTCACTTCAGGAGCCACTGCAGCTGCATTTCRTGAAAATGTTTTGGTCTCTAGAAAYAGAATATTTCACACTGATGTTTTATTTTTCCTCAATTAAATGAAAAMCAGAGGAGGAGAAGCAGACCTATATAACTCTGTAAGGTGGAAACTTAAGAGTCCCAACAGTCCTATACATTCAGTTTTACTCCCTTCCTGGTGGGTGAATGCAAGCGAGTCTGAGTTGATTTAAAACGTACTTCGAGGGTGCTGAATCCTACAGTAGTTTTTAATCCCTCCAGACTTACCTCTGAGGTCCTACAAAGTACTGCATTATGTACCTGAGCCCATTGGAGTTACTRGAAAGACTCCCTTTGGCTTCAGTGGACTTTAGATCAGGCCACAATGCTACAAACAAAGCAATTGCAATGGATCAAGTAGTTCCAGCGCTTCCTTCTTAAAGAAACGAAGTCACTACTCCATTCTGGATTAATCCAGCAAAAGCAGGCATATTTCATAAATTAATGATGAAAGGCTTTGGATGGAGAGTSCTTGCCACACAGCAGGAACCATTTCTAAATACCTTGGATCAGAACTCGAGCTGTATAAAATGAGTTTATCTTCAGCAAACCTACGCTGATTTTCACAGCTGGTTCAGGAAACAGATTTTAGTGACAAAGGTAAGGCACAATAATAGCTTGAGCATATTGGTGTTTTGACCATCAAATGCAATCATAGAAACTGAGAAATATACCAGGTTGGAATTTAAACTTTCTGCAAGGCATTCAGATGATAATGGAGATGGGTCTTTGAAGCAGTTTCTCCTTGCTTCCCTGGAAGAAATGAAAGGGAGAGSATCTAAGCATGAATGAGCTGATCATTTCTGCTAGCTACAGGGACGAGTTGTYGCTTTGTCTTAGTACTACCCTTCAAGAGCCCAATGCCAGGCAAAATTAATCATGACCTTTCAAGCTAGGCATGTCCTGGTTGGCCATGGGTTGTGGCTTTCAGAGGAAAGGTCACCATGTTGTGGAAGCCTAAAAAAGAATGAGAAGTCAGGTTCATGTGGAAAATTGGGGATCCCTCCTTCCCCAGCAGGACAGAATCCCTTTCCTAAATCTCTGTAGTTTCAGGATAATCAATTTGAGTGATTGTCTCTTTTTGGCCCAAGAACTGCATATTTGCATGAACCAAAATGATTTGCAAGGTGGGTTACAAGTGAAAATAAAATTGAAAATAGATAAGAAAATATTTTTCTAAAAAACAAGTTTTGTTTCAACTGATAAAATACTTCCTTTTTGTGATAACATTTTTGATTTAAATTATTTTTAAATGGTTTAATTTCTTTTATTAAAAAGCTTTGATGCAATTCAAAATAGACATTCTGGGGGAAAAAAAAAAGCAAAACAAAATAACCAACAAAACAATAAAAAAGAGAACCTTGTTTTGCGTCAAAACCATTTTGTCCTTGATTTTTGCATCATTTACTCTATCAAACTAATCAGCTAACAGAAAAAGGGCAATCTTCCAAGGTGAATTTCCAATGTCTGTGCCATGCAATTTTGAAGTCTTGGAAGCTGAGATGAATTATTTCTAGATGAACTGCTTTAGCATCAAAGGCCTGATCAAAGCCCACTGAAGTCAACGCCACTATTTCTATTGATTTCAGTGGGCCATGAATCTCTCATTGTTTTCCCAGGAGAATTCAAGGGCTGAAACTTTACTCAGAAGAGAAAGAGCTGCCAGAAAAGGTACAAACATGTACCACACTTACCAAGAATAAGGGTTCCAGAGGTTCCATAAGGGTTCCAGAATTCAATTACCATRTCATTGCTATTGTTGCACATACTATTCTCTCACTACCCTTTTCGCTGTGAGCTTTCAAACCTCTGAGGTTTGTACATAACYTTTCACAGGCGTGTATTCACCTGCCATGAGATAGGCTGGAAATTGCACATTTTCCTTTTCTTTATAGAAAATGCATAAAATAAAAACACAATCTAGTTTATTTTGCAGACCTGATAATATCTTTTTTTACAYGGCTACTTGTTTCAGTGAGACATGGCACCAAGGAATACTACAAATATCACTGTACACTCGCTCATACAGACAGGACCAGTCTTCACATTTGAAGTGTTTTCTCACCTGAAATAAGATATTGCAACTATTGGCAGGAAATTCTAAGTAAAAGTCATGAGAAAAAAATAAAGGCTAAAAATAAGGAGGATTTTTTTTTCCAATTTCTTAAAATAGTGATATCATATTCCTGCTCTTCAAGATGGATAACATCAATCTGTATAATACTCTTAATATTTTACCAAAATAGCATTTATCTAGAAAACATATCAATTTAATTGCATTAACTTGAAAACTCTTCCTGAATAAAAGAATGAAAATAATATTTGAAASTTTCAGAAAGACAAGGTCAGAAAAATAAATCTACGCTGTCATATCTTGATGYATCTATATCATATTTTGAGAAAAAKGAAAAKTMCAAAGAATTTTAAAGCATGAAACATAGTACATAGTATTTCATAGGCTGAAATGTTTCCTCTTTGCATAAGAATATCTTTGCTTGATACCACAGCTATGTACACCTATTTATTTACTTTATGCATCCTCTTTAGCACATACATGATGTACAAAGGATGTYACACCTTTGTGCGGTTCAAATAATGTTTTTGCTTTTCATTTTCAATTTCACTGCTCTGGTGGTCCATCTGTTCTTTGTATGCTATGTGCAGTGGAACAGCTTTAAGCAGCTGCTGGCCCTTAGGTTTTCCTTGGAAAAAAACACGCTTTAGGTCAGAAAGTGAGTCCTTGAGTGTACCCTGTATCTGTGAGGGGCCCCTCTATGGTTTCCCACAGCCCAGATGCTTTATAGGTGGTAAACACAATGAAAGAGGTGCAGGAAAAGTGCTGACRACAGCCCTGCCTCTCAAGTGGTCTGCAAAGAGACTTTCTTCWGAAACAGGTGGGATCCCAACAGCAATATTCTTTGAGACCTGGAGTTATTTCAGCATGTTATGGAAAAGCATGAAGGTGAATGTTCAGCTGTAACAGCTGTAAACGACTTGGATTTAATAGATGAAAAGACACTTATTTGCATATTTGGGGACAGATGTAAGCAGTCTTTCAGTAGGAATAGCTTGCCAATGGAAATATGAATTCTGCATTATAAAACCCCTGTGGATGAGTATATTTTACCTTTTATGAAGCATCTGGAAACAGCAAGTCCCAAAAGCCACCAGTATCAACAGCAGTAGTGGTATAGTGGGTATTACAACATAAATTAGATTCGGAATTATACCTACAAGACAAAAGTTCTCATTAATGTCTCCCATGCTGAAATGCTTTTAAATATGAGTAAAAATCTGGAGTGAAATATCAGAAATACATTAACTTACACAAAAKAGCATTTATACATTCCTTCTATAGGAAGACCTCCAAAGAGAACTCAGCGGTATCAAGAAAAAAACAGCACTTGAGTGATGTGCAAAACCTATATTCAGGTCTTCCATTCTTACGTTTTTCAAGTTCATATTTCAACTATGTTAACACAGGACATTTCACAGCCTATTTTCACAGTCCATTTTAACTGCAGACCCAGTTGTCTTTGTATGTTGGATTTCCTACCCATGCAGGAGCACAGGAGGAACGAGCCTGGCTCTTGTYTTCCCTATTCCCTCAAAAACACATACACCCTCTCCTTGACTAATGAGGAGAGCTGAAGGTGCTCCCCTGCAGGCCCCTGGACAAAAGGAGTGGGAAATACCTCAAGCTGAGACTCTATTATCAGTCTCGAATAAAGGATAGGGTCTGCAACTTCCAGAAGGGTACTGTTTCCCAGTAACTATGTGCCCACATTTTATACTAGCACATATTTAATGTACAGATTGTTGAGAGTTTCTTACCCATTGTTCTATTTTGAAATTAWTTTTCACTAGAAAGAATAAATGTGAATATTTAGGTTGTGTTTGAGTTTTAGAGAGAGTCTTTGCAGAGTTTGTATTAAATGGTGCTACTGATTTCAAAGCACAGTTCATCAATATCTTAATTCCTCTGGAGTTACAAATAATGGAAACACCAGTTAGGAAGCTGGCTCAAATCCAGACAGCTAGTGGRGAAASAGAGCATCCACTTTCCATAATCCTKTGGTGCAATCCTGCAAAATCCAGAGCTTCTCCTTAGAGATGTTCCGTTCCTTGAGCTAAGGCCACGSCACAACTCTGCATGAGCCCAGGACTCGGTTCAGAAGATAAATTGCTGAATGAGGCAGCCAAGGGCATTACAGAACCTGGGCAGTAGGTGTCTGCTTCCCAAATATCAACTGCCATCGCTGCTAGGAATCTCAGCAAGGCACTGAACCCCTCTCAGCACGTGGTTTTCCCTGAAACAGGGTACTTGGGGAAGTTATGAATACAATATTTATTCTAAGTTTGGTGACACAAGCAAATAATTTGTTTCCACAGTTACTAAGAGGACTAAGACTCTTGAAATGTTATTTGAATATATGTATTTTCAGGGCCATTCCCAGAGAAACTGGGACTGTTTCTTCCCAGTGGCAAAAATGAAAATGGAAATATTAGTTTAATTCCACTGTTAATATTTTTAGCAGAACACTACATTCATATGAACACCTTACCTGTTTCAGTGGCAATAATATGATAYTGATCTTCTGGTTTGCTTGTGTCATAAGGATTTCCTGCTGGCACTGTTGGAAAAATATCTGAAAAGGAGATCAGACATTTTAGGAAAATAATGAGTAAAAAATATGGCCATTATGTTGTCAAATAAATTAACATTTTAATTTATATTGTGAAAATGAACATTTTTATGATTTATTAAATATACATGTAAACAGGATTTTTTTACAAAACTGGAATTACATCTGGAAGAATTAAAAGCAGTGTTACTATGAACAGCAGCCATATATTAGTAGCTGTTGCTCTCTGAAGGATTAATTTTTCCTGTGTTCCAATTCTTAACTGTGCCTGTTAAACTTGAGTAATTTTGGATTTTCTTGCAAGCTATCCTTATAATTATGTATTTACCAATGCAACTGAATTTAATGTGTCAAAATTTCTTACCGTATTCTGGCTGTGCTCTGTCTCCTAATTCTTTTTCTAAGACATTATCTGTTAAATCAATATTTGAAATCGATTGTTGAAGAATGAAATGTGTGCAACAAAACAGACATTTCCATTATTTTTCATGCAAYATTACAGAAATAGATACATTCCCCCAAACAGTAATTGCTTAATTCTTCATCAGTTCATCTTCTTACCAAAGACTATTTGCAAACTAGTGTCAGACCACTTCAAGTTCATAACTTTTGTTCCTTAGAAGAAGGCTCTAGTTTACTCTAGTTCCAATTCTTGGTGRCCTCTGATTTAATGGCTAATGGTTAATAGCTCATCCCCTGAATGCCTTAATTTCTTGTGCTGAATAAAACTCCTAACATAGTCAAAGCTTCCTTTGTGCAGGCAAWTCTAAATTGATTTAAGAAAATAAGTTCTTTTTACCATAAGATTATACTAACTTCATAGTGCTACCAGCCTACCATCCTGAACATCTTGATAAATAGAAACTGCCGGGAGAAATCAAAACAGTGATAAAACCTACTAGAAAAAGCAATTATTTCACCTATTCTGGTAAAAAATAACTACATTTGGCCTCATATAAAGAAAGATGCCAAGATACCCCAAAGAACCAAGCTGAGGTCTCTTGACAGCAGAAGAGGAGATGAGTCTTTAATTTGATTGCATAATCAAACATACAGGAGCCGGACAGGAACTAAATGTGGTCGCAATTACCAGCCTATAATTAAATTCAAGATCGCTGAATGATCAATATCATCTACAGCCAGACTGAACATTGCAACAGTAAATGCTGCCAARGGAGGCACTAAAAAAAGGACTTGGAAAAATAAAAGTGTCTACCAGAAATGTAGAGCAAGGCTGCCTAATGAGCAGTGCCCTGGTGTTGCTGCTGATACAATTAGGTGCAACTTCATCACAGTCACCTACAACCTGCCTTGGCCTGGGGTTGGTATCAYACACCACATACCCAATACAGACAGGAAAGCCAGGAGAAACAATATACTCGGGTAACGAACTGAAATTGAATATGCACACAGCACTTTAACACTCCTGGTGAAATAGACATATTTTATGTTGCTAAGAGCTGATGTTGAAGCCATTACGGTGATTTGAGGGGGGAAAAAAGGTCGTTTGGAAGTCTCACTCGGTTTGAGATAACAAATGTAATTTTCTCACAAACACTGTGGTACTTTCTTCAGGCAGTGAAAGAAATGTCATATATCTATTTATATACATTTATGCATCTACTCCTTTCCTCCATGTGACAGAAAAATACATTTCTGGAGAATAGCCTGTTTTGCTAAAGAGCACAATTCCAACAGCTTGAAAAATAAATAGCTGCAATTCAGTAGTGCTGTATTTAGCGGCATAACAATGGCCATACTAACAATAATTTACCCAGACATTGTTTGCCTTGTATGCCTCATTATATACTAATAACCCAATTCTACCTAGAGACAAAAATATAAGTGTATTTTCATTTTTACTGTTACCACTTTGTTTTCTGCCAATCCAAAATACCTGGCATTTTTTCAGATGGTGAAAGCAATAGAAAAAACAATTCTTTATAACATCTCAGCAAGAATGGAAAGTAGTTCACTACTATAGAATAATTATCTCACTTAAATTTGTTTGCTTTTAAAGCTACGAAATATGCCTGAAAATGAACCTTTTTAATAAAGCCTGCATATTTTGACATWAAAATGCTGGTATTTTAGCAACATAAAACATTACTATTTTGTTACATTCTTTCAAAATAATTTGAAGAGTTCTAAAARTGATAAAATTGCATATGTTACACTTCCTTGAAGAGCCTATGATGATCACTGATCATCATACGGTAATAATATCCACTAACCATTTTTAAAGAAGGAACAGATTTAGGGAGTGAGGGTAAAATATGTTGGCAAGTTAACTCTTCCAAACTTTAATATTTCCTTGCAATATTAATTGCCATTAATATCCTCATTAAGAGACCAGAAAGTGAAAACCTTTTTATCCACCAAAATCAGATTAACAAAATAGTCTGGATCTCTACAGACAGGCAGACCTCTGCAAAAAGAGGGATTATTGCTTGATCATCAGCATAGAGAAAGCAAGTAGGAAACTACAGAATTGGGATGGTCAAATAGCTGCTAAGAGTAGGATTACATGTAGTCATAGAATGGTTTAGATTGGGAAGGGCTTAAAATAACTTTTTTTTTTCCCCAACCCCCCTGCCATGGGCAGGGACACCTTCCACTAGACCAGGTTGCTCAGAGCCACATCCAACCTGACCTTGAACAACCTAGAGATGGGGCAGCCACAGCTTCTCTGGGAAACCTGAGCCAGAGCCTCACCACCTTCACAAGGAAGAATTTATTCCTAAAATCTATTCTAAACCTACTCTCTGTCAGTGCGAGCCATCCACCTTTGTCCTGTCACTCCAGGCCCTTGTAAATAGTCTCTCTCCATCTTTCCTGTGGGCTCCYTTCAGGCACTGGAAGGCTCTCTAAGGTGYCCCCAGAACTTTTTTCTTTTCTAGGCTGAACAATCCCAGCTGTGCCAGCCTTTCCTCCCAGCAGAGCTGCTCCATCCCTCTGATCCCCTGGGTGCCTCCTSTGGGCTGGCTGCARCAGCTCCRTGTCCTTGCTGTGCTGGGAGCCCAGGGCTGGATGCAGCACTGCAGGTGGGGTCTGAGCAGAGCGGGGCAGAGGGGCAGAATCCCCTCCCTGCCCTGCTGCCCACGGGGCTGTGGCTGAGCCCAGCACACGGGGGGCTCTGGGCTCCCAGCGCACACGGCCGGGCCATGTCCAGCCTCTCACCCACAGCACCCCAAGGCCTTCCCCCAGGGCTGCTCTGGMTCTGTTCAGCCCCAGCCTGGAGTGACCCAGGTCCAGCACCTTGGACTCAGCCTGCTAAACCTCATGAGATTCCCATGGGCCACTTCTTGAATTTTTATTAATTAACAAATGAAATTAATCCATAATTTCAGATGCATTCTGACTTTCAGCTTAGTTTTTGAAAAACATACACACCAAAAAATTATTTGAAAAGATTTGCAAGATCCTGCTGAAAACCACATTTTCATTTAATGTCAGTACCGCCAAGAATAGAAAGTGTTCCAGGCTCAAACTGGAAAGTTTACTTTCCACRTCCTTTCTGGTTTTGCACCATGTTCTAGTTTATAGCTCAATTTTCCTCTATTGACATATACAGACTTATGTCATGTCTGGAAGTACAGCCAGATTGCCTAAGATCTGTTTTTTCTGTCACCATCACAACTAGCATGCATCTGCTTTTCATATCTATAAGTCCTCATGCATGAATGCAGAATATTTTCCTGCTGTTCTGGACTTCATTCTTCAGGCCATAACTTTTTGAAATAGCCACCACTCCTAAGTTGGTATAAAATGGCAGGGCTGCAGCTGCAAGGACAGAGCAATATTTTTCACAGGAGGACCAAGAGATGTCTTGGTCATCCTGCCTGGAAAGTAGAAAATGTCTACTTAAAACACTTTGTGGAGAAAAAAAAATAACTAGGGAATTAATTAAATCCATGCAAGCGCGGAAATGCATGGTAGTGAAACTAACTTTGAAAAAAAAATCTCATTAGATATAAAMAGGTTTATTTAAACATGTTAATAATTTCTTTTAATGGTTGTTCTTGACATATTATATCCYCTTTTAATGCCAGCTCAGGCACACAGCAAAGGAACCAGTACCACAGGCCAAAAGATACTTGAAAGTTCCCTCAAAAACCAAGAAGCAATTTTTTTTCTAAGACAATGTCCCACCTGTGAAATATAACTTCAGTTTCACCTACCTGGGGCATATTTGCAGATAAAATTGTGCTTCATGTTGCATCTATCATCATTCCATTGATAAAGGTATGGCCCTCCCAGACCAGGGTTTGCAGTTGGCTGGTGATACATCACCACACAGGCTTCACTTCCACAGGAAGGCTCATCTGTGTACCAGTTTCTGGTTTTTGAAGGTAAGGGTCATCAGGATGCCAAAGAAAAGAGTTTGAATCAATGAAGAAATATCAACCCAAACACTCCCATCCTCTTCAGAGATATCCTGCATTTCCCACAGCACCTCTGTGAAAGGAGTTAAGGCCTAAGCTCTACACCTCTGAATTTTAAAAAAATTCTGATCAAAGCACCTCTGCAGAAATAACACCCAACTGCTCTGTTCTCCTCCTTTTTTTTAACTCTTAACCTTATCCTTCGTCCTGAGTTCCATGAGATGCTGCTACTCAGGCCTTTGCTTTAATCAAGAAATTAAAGGCTTTCCAAAAAAGGTCGAAATGGAACAACTTATGCTAAGCAACTCACAATAGTTTATTTGGTGGGTTGCTCCTGGATCGGACGTGATCAAGAGCCTTGCAAAATTTGCTTGCCTGCTTTCACACCACACCCTAAATACTCCACCTGTGACAGAACAACCACCTAAAGTCATGCGGAGGCAAACTCTGTGGGTGGGAGAGAGGAAATTTAAAGGCTGAAGCCACACTGCCCTCCTGTCACAGCTTCAAATCAAAAATCCCAACTGCCTAAAGCTACCCTTTATCTGGAGGAGTCAAGTGGGGATGCTGCAGACTTATGGGGCAGCAAGCCTTCAAGGCTTGGCATTCCMATCTCCATTTCTTTCCAAACCACCTCAGTGAGCAGTTTCCACKCTTACCTGAACGGTGACGTGCTGCCATCGGCCCACTGGTACAGATCGGGGCAAGCACTCGAYGTGGCCAGACCATCGCCGCTTCTCCACAGCCCAATCCAGAAATCACCATCAGAGATCCCAGAGCCCGACCTRGTGAGGTTTTGCAGCATATTTTCTATCAGCTGCTGCTCAGTTTCGCTTTCCAAGCTGAGCAAAGCCCCGCCGTCGATTTCGCAGGCCTGGCGGGCCTCCTGGAAGCCCACGCGTCTGGACAAGTCCTGGAAATAGGCTAATTTGTAACAGGAGCGCTTGAAGGCACCATAGCAAACCTTCTGGCCTGAAAACGAGCACATGAGAGTGTTCAGAGTATGGTCATGAGTATCAAAGCTGAAAGAAAAGAATACAGCACATCATGCATGCATTGATGGAGAGCAGGAGGTTTTTGGATGAGAGGATTCATGGTGATAACACYGGCAGCACCAAAATCTTTTGCTCTGATTTAAATCCATGGTGATAACACCGGTACCACCAAAATCTATGCCATCTTCCCATGGCCTGTGAAACTCTCCAAAACACTGAAGATTCCCCATAGGATCTAGAAAAATATTCTCTGTTTTAATGGCTGTACCATCAGGCCTCTCTGTTAAAGCCAGGATCTGTTTGGAGGGTATTTTCTTAACTATTTCATACTAATGGACCAACTTCATTTTTTATTTTTTAATCAGAGTTATTTGATTAAAAACGAAATGTTTCAAATTCTCATTTTTAGTGGCAAGAAGTAGCTGGAATTTTTTTTTGTCCTGCTAGTTAACTTTGAGAGGCTTCATAGGAGAGGAACTTAATAATAACTCTTCACTACAATGGTGTATGGGAGGAGACAGTCTGCTCCTTCCAGCTCTTTGTCTGAGAAAGATACATGTCTTTTTCCTAAAAAGGAAAACTTATTATAATTTTCAACTACTAAGACTCTCTAGAGTTCATTCAAGATATATAAGATGAGGAATCAACACACTAACTTGTCAGCTGCAGCTGAACTCTGGTGTGCTTGTTTAGGGACAAGAGAAGGCTTCTAAATATAACCATCACTTAGGAAAACTAAACCAAGTTTTCCTAGTACAGGAATTTATCATTGGAGAAGAAAAGTAGGGAAGTTTATTTTGTTAAGTAAGGATTACTGAAGGATACCAAAGTAACAAAAAACACCAGGCATTACCTAGATTGTTTAGAAATCAATAAAATTCATCATTTTAATGGAAAATTTGACAATCATACAGCATGCTGAGCTGGAAGGGATCATTGATGATCATGGAGTCCAACTCCTGGCCCTGTGCAGAACAGCCCCAGACTCACACCATGTGCCCAAGAGCATTGTCCAAACCCTTATTGAGCTCTGTCAGGTTTGGTGCTGTGACCACTTCCTTGGGGAGCTGYTCCAGTGCCCAAACACCCTCCGGTGAAGAACYTTTTTCCTGATATCCAACCTAAATCTCCCCTGACACAACTTCAGGCTGTTCCCTTGGATCCWGTCACYGTCACCACAGAGCAGAGATCAGTGCCTGTCCCTCCTTTYCCCCTCATGAGGAAGCTGTAACTGCACTGAGSTYTCCCCTCAGTCTCTTCCAGGCTGAACAGGCCAAGTGCTCTCAGTGGGTCCTCACACGGCTTCCCCTCAAGGCCCTTCACCAKCTTCAAAGCTTTCCTTTGGACATTCTTTAAAAGCTTTRTATCCTTCTCTTATTGAGGCACTTGAAACTGCTCACAGCACTCAAGGTGAAGCCACACCAGCACAAAGTACAGTAGTTTACCATATCAGATTTGCATTTGAAAATCTTGTACTTAGTCTCACTTTTAAGCAAACCCAGATATGTGACTTACATTCATAACCTTCAAAATACATGTGTCCTATTTCACCTTAAAAAAACATATAATTTGTCACTGAGAAACAGCAATATCCTTCTACAACTTCGGCTGTATTTAAGTTTTCCCAGGCACTGTTTTTCTATACACAAAGAGTAAACATCAAAGTAAACAAAAAAGCTTGAAAGCTACAATAAATTTCATTCTTTTTGCATTAGTGTTGCTTCATTCTTGTATTTAATAACTAGGATACTTCCAATATCAGACAGCACTGAAGACTGTATTTGTCCAGAGCATAGTTTCAAAGTATTTGCAGAGAATAAGAAGACTACATCAAAGTTGCATTAATACAGGAACAGAAAAACAGGGTCAGCTCTTGCCTTTTAGCGAAATCTGAAAGTACCTCTTATTTTTTTTGGGATCATTTCTGTTGTAGAAAGCTAAATTATGGGGGCAGTAGGGAGATCCTATGCTTAGATTTCTAGGGTTTCTACAATTCTTGTAACCTTTCTGAAAAAAAAAAAAGAAAAAAAAAAACCCTCTGAAACCTTCACTTTATAATACCCTATAAAGTTCATCTGGAGAAGGACCATCAGGAAGAGAAGTATCTTTGCAGTCTCATTCCTGCTTGGCAGACAGACTTCTGAAAATTGAGTTATCAGTAATTAATCTACCAAAATAATAATACAAGAACAAGAATAGTTTAGCAAAAGGACAAACTTGTAGCACAGATACCCATGGAAAAAGCCAGCCCCCAAGATCAGGAAGAGAGTGYCTATTGGGACTTTCTCTGATAACATCCTGACAACACTCTGACAATTCCCAATTCCTTTCCTGACATTTCCCTTTATTCCTACAGGTTAGGAGCCTTGCTCTCAGTAAATGTAGCAAGAGTCGTAGTCCTAGCTGGGCTAGGAGCAAGGGACAGACCCTTTGACAGAGATGCACATGAAATAATGGGCTTCTTCCTAGGATTTCTTCGAACAGAAGAAAAGAATGCCCCTATTATCAAAGTAACGAAGTGATAACCCTAAATGCTGCAAAGTGGGTAAATGCAAGAGTGATAGCTGCTGGTGAAATCCCAGCTCGTTCCCCCCATCCACAATGCTGAAATTCCAATTTTGTTGACATGATTGATTTTTCCCACTGCCTCAGTGACAGGATATAGAGCACAGGGAAGGAGGAGCTGATCAACATTTGACCCTCAGTACTTGGTGAGTGACTGGCTCAGTGCCAGAGTACACATGTGTATGTAACAGCACAAACACCCAAAGGCCAGCACTGAATTATGCAGGACACTCATCATTCACCGGGAAAAGTAACCACACCTTTCCCTGTAGCTGAAGATTGGATTCAAAACATTAATTCAAGATGYGTATGCAAATTCAGGGAGAGTGATTTGTCTATTCTCTTGTTCTTTTTATTTTCCCAGTGTTTGAAACAAACTCTTCCACGATTCCTTTCATTCCATGCACATACTCTTCTTCAACATCAAGTAGCAAGTTATGAGCAAATTCAGGTATCAGAGGATCCTGGCCACAATTTCAATCATTCAGGATTGTTCAACCAACTGAGGTGAGCAGGCTGACCACTGTGGATCCCAACTCCTGCTGCTCCTCTCTTTCATTGGAAAATAGCTAAATTTTGCTTTATAACACACAATCCCTGCATGTTTCTCAGATGGCTGAAGTGCTCCCCTCCCTCTCTGTTCTCATGCAGTCTCTGCTCTTCTGTGACTCTCCCAAAATCTGAATCAGATGATCTCCTGGCCGGAGGAGTGCATCCTTGCTGACTGCCTGACCAAGTTTCTTCACAATGCTCATCTGCCAGTCAGCTGCTACATGGAAACTCACCTGCCAAGCAGAATAATAGAATCTTTTAGCTTGAAAAAGGCCCTGAAGACCACTGAGTCATGGCAAGTGCCATTTCTGAGCTGCCCCAAGGCTTGTTTCCATGAGCTGTGCTGCATTCTGGTCCCATACAGAGGTTGTATCCACGCTCAGCTCCATCACCCACACCARGGAAACCAGGCAAGGAGGATGACCAGCATTTATGATGCACAAAGAACTGCTGCAGCCTCTAATCTGTGCCCAGCTTGCCACCCTTGTGCACTCAAGCAGGGAACCCTCCTGGAACCATCAGAATACAATGTGAGTGCCCAGTCTSTACCCAAGGGTTTATCTGAAAGGGTTAGCAAGTTAAAGTTTTGAAGCTTTGTATGAAGACATTTTATTTCTTTCCTTAAACTGACCTGAATAATTTGTAAGGATACCATTGATATTGCAGGTGTTTGGGCAGGTTTAAGTAGCTCTAAAATCAAGTCTTATGAAGTGAAAGAATTGAACRAGTGAAAATTTGCATGAAATCTGACTGCTAAATTATTGCTCTTTCATTTGTTGCTCTCTCCACCTGTGGCAAAAGAAATCATTTCCTCCTTACAGGCTGATCATTTCTGCAAGAATATACCCCCAGAAACCAACAGAGCAAACAGCAAGAAACCGTGAAATAATTGGCTTTAAGATTCAGACCCAAACAGTGTGAATGAAGTATGTGAGGCAGAKTAGCAAGCCCGCTGGAAGAAGCTGTGAATTTTCTTGTTCTAGTTAATTTAATCCCTGTGTTTAGGAAGTGACCTGCTCTGAATCTTTTCTTTCTTCTTTTGAAGCAGACTTTGAACTCGCTYGGCTACAGCAGATAAATGTGTTAATGGAAATCTGCAGTTGTGCCTTAATAGCTGGCAAATCAGCCCACGTTTTAGTGCTCTTCTCGGAACACCCTCTCACTACTAATTTCTGAACTACAAAGCAGAAATAATTTACCACTGAAAAATGACAGAATGGACTGCATTGTACAGGTGACAAGCATGGAAATTTTAACTATTTTACCTTATTCTAACATCTTTCAGCAGACTCCACATTTAGTTCTAAAGCAACATTTTGCTATTTCAGCTGTATAAATTGAGTTCCAATTTTTTTGTCACAATTGAATAGAAACTAGATTTGTAAGCAAGCCTATTGGAATGAATCACRCTAAGACACTACGCAACATGAATCTTTTTTTTTTGTCTCATCATCCCATTAGCTGATGAAACAAGAGAATAGTTTTTGSTCTAGACAGTGCTATCTGCCATTTCCATCCATATGGGTCAGTTTTCATCTTTGGGTGTTGCACAGCAGCTCCAAAGTAGAATGTTTAGACATCAGCCCCAGAACAAAGACATTTTTAAACTAAAGTACTGGTTAAAATATTTCTGTAAATGTTTCTACAGGGAAAAAAAAAAAGTCTCCTCCAACAGAAGGAAAAACAAGCAAATTTCCAGCTGTTACTTCGATCAGTTATGTCTCYATTATGTTTTAATAATCATGTTCCATTAAACAAATAATAGGTTCTTTGATTTCTGACATGACAGAAGTTACAGMAAAGTGTCATTTAGAAGCAAAATTGCTGATAAAATACCAGGTCAAAGATTCCTCTCCTTAA